ACACACACACACACAACTATATATATATATATATATATATATATATATATATATATATGTAACACCTTGTCACTTGTGTGCAATGACCCATTCCTAAATAGAATAGAGAATTAACTTCGGTTTACATCGTTCCTGTGTCGTTCTGATATATATATATATATATATTAGAACGATACAGGAACGATGTAACCCGAAGTTCATTTTCTTTTCTATTTAGGAATGGGTCATTGCACTCAAGTGATAATGTGTTAGTTTGAACTTTCAATATATCTAGCAATACCGAACAATTTGGATCGAACTTCTCCTCTGCGACAATGATTACCGTTTACAAGACAACACTGGTTCAACTGAATGTCTACCGAAGCTACCCACTCGACTACCTCTCAAGTTAAAGCATCAGGAAGGTCTGATATAAGAGCTGAAAATATAAATTGACAACATGCTCTTCGCGATACAAATTTTTTGATCATTCAGAGAATGATCATCCTTGATCAACCTCTTATCAAATTGAAATTGAAACATAATGATACAATTTAAGTAAAGGGGTATCCTCTCAATACGATTCAAGAAGAGGTTTAAAAAGCCATAGCTAAAGATATGTTAGCTAGTGACATTATTGAAATAAGCGACTCACACTACAATAATCTGCGCATATTTGTCCCAAAGAAAAGAAAAAAGACAAATAGAGACTTTTTACAGATTCCCGCAAATTAAATAAAAGCCTTAAGCTATAGACTGGCCACTTATTGGTATCAGCCACATCTTTGACGAATTTGCTCGCGCTTAATACTTTGCCAGTTTTGACATCAAACAAGCTCACTGGAGTGTATTGGTTAATAAGAATAGCATAATCCATGGGTATGTAGCAGAGTGTTTTGTAAAGCAGCATCACCTTTATTCTAACCCGTAAAGAAAATTAACTGTTATGTAGACGACGGTTGGAGCAGTGCGATGGCAATTCAGGATTTGATCGATCAATTGGACCATGCATTTACAGCAATAAAAAGTAAAAAGGTCCCGTTGAAAGGATCTATATTCAATATTGGTGCTTAAGAGCTTGATAATTTAGGCTACGTTGCCAGTCGTGAGGATATAAAGATTGACCCAAAACGATACCAACAAATACACGATTAGCCAGGACCACAACCTGTGACGACACGCAATCGCTCTTGAGGCTCGCTAATAACAGCCGAAAGCTCACTAAGCAATACGAGGCCTTTGGTTTAATGTATAAAGGATACTAAAATCACGAAAACAGGAACTAAGCGCGCTCTTATACCTTCAAACACAATGCGCGGGGCATAAATCTGCTTAAGTTCTAAAGCCACACTGGCATTCCCAGGCCTTTCTCAGATTGCAAATCTTTCATTCTAAAAATGGATGCAACTAAAAATGGATGATGCATGTGATGCAAGTGCTGGTTGTGTTATAATTTAACTTCAAACTAATAAGAGAACACAGCGAAATAAGAAAAAAATTCAAAGCCCAATAAACGCACGAACGGCCCTGGTATATTTCAATCAAAGAAGCATATGTACTTCTCTGGGCTTGCACCGAGGCTGGACACAAATATGTTCAAGGCAGACCTTTTGAAATACTCACCGATCGCAAACCATTGATACCTTTGAAGTCTAAAAACAAAAATCAAAATGAACGACTACTTAGATGGTCAAAATATTTGCAAGACTAGGATATGACCAAAAATAAAGATGGTAGTACGCGCTACCAAGCCAGACTAAGCAATCCAGGCAGTAGAGTTAATTAGATGGGTATTTTATTGTTTCCCGTGTCCTACGATTATCTATTGCCGAGATCGGTTGCTCATGCCGACGACACGATTGGCTCCGTGTATTTTAACCTGTTTAATTCATCATAGCTGCAAATGTTTAGAAGAAGTGTTTGCCTTTTACGTCTCCATATCGGTTCAATTGTCGAAGTTTGTCCAGGTAGTCCCTCCACAATCATATCTCCACGGTATACTGTTCGCTTGCACAGTCACACACAAGAGCACACTGTCAGTTTCGTGCAACAAGTGTCAAAAGGTACAGATGCGAGTGGCGATACTGAGCACAAACGGATGATGCGCTAGCCAGAGGTCCTCAGGAAGCGCTAACGCTAAAAAATTTATGTGCGCTATATATAAAAGCCATTGCATAACGGGCGTCCTAAACTGGGTTAACAGCTTAAAATAAGATTGTGCACCCTGCCCAAATATGTTAAATGAGTCAAAAGTAGAGTATAGAATAGAATGCTATCTGTCAATGTACCTTGCATGATATATATACATGAATAAGTATGTAAACGTGTGTATATTTTGGACTCATGGCACGGTTTCTATGTCCGTTTAAATACGTGTGCAGGTAAGTCGTATTCTCTGAGCGGGCATACGCCTGCGCAACATATAACTCAGACTACCATTCAGAAGTATGTTTGTTGCGTTTGTGAAACCCAATTTCACAAGTTTACTACTTTGTGTGATCGGATACCACACACCAAAATGCTTAATACCGAATTAATTGAAGACATCCGAATATCTACCTACTATTAAGGGGTTGCAGTATCGGAATCCCAAGTCTGTAGCCGAGAATCCACATACTGAGTTTGATTTTCAATATAAGTGCAGCTTGTAAAGAATGAACTATGGCAGTTATTCAGCGGGGGCTATTTTAAGACTTGTCCCATGTACTATTGAAGTTCACCTGATAATTGATTGTAAGCGTGCACCTTGTGTGCAGATGCACGTTGCTTTGACATCATAGTATGAATTTAGCGCAATACACGAGCATAGGCCAAAACGGCATATGTTATTAGGGAGTCACAAGGAAACGTAAGGCCATCGAAGAAAAATTCCTCGCACACTTAGTTGACACAATTGGAGAAAAAGCCTTACAAACTCCACTTTAATATGACGAAGTAGTTCATATTCATATTTCATGTCAGCTACAGCGTCAAACATTGCGATGCACACCGTGATGAAATATAAATATCGGATCCGTAGACAAATATTGATTTGACGATTCGATGACCACTTTCGACTCTGGCAGCGGTGCATAACTACACCTTCGGCAGAACTGATACAAGGAATGATCCCAACTTATATCCTCATGCAGGTAGATCTAGTTTCCTTCCTTTGATAACTGTGTATTTGAATAGTGCAGAAGTTAGTCAACGTTCAAAAATTTACGACTAAATAGCGTTACAGAGTCAACGTCAAATCCTAGTTGCACTAAGATGCCGCAAAACCCGAGGAACACGGTCTATAAAAATATACATATACATACACATACATATATGACACGATGAAGTTTACAACACATACAAATACTCGCATGTATTCAGCGCATACGAAGAATGATCGAACAGAGTAAATGAAGTCGACATACCTCGCGTAATGTACAGGTAGAAGAAATCACAATACAAAACAGTCTGGATCACTCCTGCAACGATGGAGATCCAATCCACATGATCTTCTACCACATAGCGGTAGATCCAGTTCAGAATATATAGTCCTCGGTAAGACCCCTACATTGATAGATTTTGAAGATACAATAAGCACATCTTGCATGGCTACCAGTATGCAAATAAGATACTTGGTGATTCATGGGAGTATACGAATGTAAATTCATTTGTGGAAAGCCACATTTGCTGCAGATGATTGAAACAATGCCTACAATAGAATTTAAATGTCATTAGGCGGGTGAAATCATGCGTAGGCCATTGTAATATGTGCATGGTACATTTACTTACTACAATACGTTACATCCATACCATGAAAATTCATACAATAGGTTTTCAAAATTCAAACGCCTAGATATGTTGTGGAATAAATATGTAATTCTGTCTACTCAAACGTCGAACACCATCAAAGAAGTCTATGACGAAGAAGTTACGCTCGTCTGCAAATATCCATAGATACACTAAACACATGAAACACGCCATCACGCAAACCAGACCACCATCTCAGAACTCTTCCTCCAAATGAATTATATATTTACACACATTTAGTATAGTGAAGGGAAGACGAGGTAAAGATTCAAAGGAAAAACTGTAAATCGAAGGATTGAGACAGACATTGGTGTGTTTGCATGCATATAATATGCAGCAATAAAACCCTAAATGTGTTGTTCAGAAGTTACACTCATGAGTTCATAAGTATATAAAAAGTTGCAACACAACAGAAATATTGAAGAAGTAAGCACAACATTCAATTTTTCAATTTGTCTGTGACTGTATCTACTCGCTCTAGTGCATATTGACTACATGATAATATATGCTAAGCGACGAAAATTAAAAACTTGTCGGTACTCGACAGCTTCACTAAAACGATCATACACACACATACATGATTTTCCAGCACGAGACCTAATTGGAATGCCGTTTAAATAAAAACTGATGCTTACTGTCAATACTAAGACGTATATTGAATTGGGCAGCTCATATATGTATCCTGTAGAAATCTTAGACACGCTCTCAAATTTCGACTAGCGTCCAACATTTAAAGCCACCAACATTTCTTAAGCATAGGCAAGTAAAAAAGCAGGAATAAGTCTATAGGTTTGCAAGTATATACATGTACATATGAAAAAATATTATAAACATTATAACCCGTAGAATTTGCGCTTATGAATTAAACTGTATGCGTGTGATAGCGACGCTACTTCTCATCCGAGTTTGCTAAGGATAGGCAATATACAATCATATTAAATCGGTCGAAAATTGTACAGTATATCAATAAAAACATAGTAACAACCAGAGCGCTTTTTCACAAAACGTTCGTATGTATATCTATATATAAGGGGTTAATTTTGAGGAATTTACATGGTGTCAGGTATGGCTGTTCAGATAGTTGTTGAATACTTTTAATGGCTTAAAGCCACGTCCAAATTTGTATGCATCAGTCTCATCGACTCTTAGCGAATGCATATATGCTTATAAAGTAAACCGTTTAGAAGTAGATCAACATTCATAAACATAATTTTATTCACGCACGACCTATATGAGTTTAAAAATGTATCATTTTTTAGGTATATTATAGACAGTGATACTCATATATACAACTAGCATATGTTGCCTGCGACCTTGGATACATGGGTTATACAAAGCTCCCAACGTGATATGGAAAGACATCCAAAATAGCAAGTATGCGTATACCTAGGCAAATACGCAATAGCATAAGCATACATGTATATGTGTGAACACTTGAAAAAGGCTATTTGCATGCCCACCCACACACACACACAGCACTCAGCACACACACACATACATATAATGTGTAGTGCATGTCAAGATACCAACAAAAGGATAGCAATGCAATTGATCAGTTTACATACCAGTGCAAACAGATAGTGACTCGTGATACTTTCGGCCTCTCCAGTCTTTTGTACCATGAACAGCTGTGGGAAAATAGCCACAGATTCTTGCCAAATGGAGAATGTCCAAAGGATCTACAAATTTGACATAATGCAGCAAGTTAGTATGAAGGGTGAACTAGCATGCGAAAAGTACATTATATACAATCCTCATGATGATTGTCGCGTTTCAAGTTCAATTTGACGGTCGATAGCCGCACATTGCGAGGTCACGAAGTTAGCAGTGAAGCTCAAATGACGAACCTTTTTGGTGCATATACGCGTATTTAACGTCAGATCTGTGGACTTGTATAATTGCACCCATCTGCAGCACAAATAAGTGGAAAACAATGCGCTACCTTAGACATGAATTTCGCACATCATAAAACGTATCATTATATATATATATATATATACATATACATATATACATACATACACATATACAGACATACACTTACATACATACATACATACATACACATATATACATATATATAAATATATACATATATATATATATATATATATATATACATCTCATCCACTCATACTGTGTTAGCATTATTTTGTATTACACTGATGTGTATCGACCAGCATTATATAAATCTACAGGTATATACCTCGACGGGATTGTATTCGTAAGGGAGAACGAACGCCATAGCGATGCACGGCAGTATTAGATACAATACGGGAAAGGAGTCGTTCTCCTTCTGGTATGTGTGTTTAAACTTGAAAGCCATCAAGTACACAGTAGCGGAGGAGCCTGGAGGAAGTCAAAGCAAAGAAACCATTAACATCATCACGGAAGAGATTATTACGCACATAGTGACGCCGTAGGAAAGTGAACGCCCGTAACATCATACAGTCATGTGTAACCAGGAACGCTATACATAATCGGTCGAAAGAAAAGAGACTCGTCGTTCTACATTTTATAAGTTGAGTGCAGATGCCGAGCGTGATTGTCCGTGAAACTCTTGATCTATACATCTTCTATATTAAAAGCGCAGGTAGCATGAATATGTAGGCTGTACGTGTGCGACTACATAAATTTTAGGTACAACAATAGAGGTCAAGTTACTGGGAATGAATTCATAAGCTCGTTTTCCGATTAAGCCTAGGTATACTATGCATAATATATTCACTCAATTGGGGGCCATGAATTGCTGGTCTGAACTTACCGATGATGAAGAACAACTTCATGAAGGTGTTGTAGAAGGAGACAAAGCGGAAAATATCCAAATACCGGGAGACAAACACAGCCACATAGAGTGACTGTGATTTGAGCGACAAACCTGTAAATGAAAAGTATGAGAATAATAAGCATATAGGTACCAAAATGGATACAGCATGTATCAAGGTACACTTAAATTGGCGGGAATAATCCAGAAAACACCGTTTATAATGCACAACAAGGCAAGTTTATATATGCGCGAACACCTTACTGAATATGTATAAATGTGTCAAGGTCCATCGACGCGCACGATATCACCGACATATTAAAAGTTGCTGAAATAGTTGTAGAAGATTATACTCTTAACAAGAATATACACAACAAGGCAAGTATATATATCCGCGAACACCCTACTGAATATGTATAAATGTGACAACGTCCGTCGACCACGATATCACCGACATATTGACTTGTTGAAATAGTTGTAGGAGCTTATACTCTTGACAAGAATGGGAATACCCATGTAATTTGGTATGCAGAATTTTTAGTTGTGTATGTGTATACACGGAAACATTAAAATATGAGTATAATAACTATATTTTGTATACACATATACATGGTTCATGGTCAGCCGTTGACGGGTTCTCAGACCTTTCGTAACTCTAAAAACAGATCAACCTGGAATATAGTACAAAGAAACACACCAGCACATGAGCGCGACGTCCAGATCTTGTACAGCAACAAGACTATGGCCACAGCATGGCTGATATCCGCTGCTAATCGAAAAATATTCATCTCTATGTTATTGACAAGATACACACACAATCAATATTGTGTTTACAAATTCATCTACACCACAGTGTTTTGTTTTGCACTTGAAAAGATTTGGAAGATTGAGAATTCAAACTTTTTCCAGAAAAAAATAATACAATCATTCGTCGACGGTTTCTCTGATGGTCTTGAACAAGCGCGTGTACCTGTAGGTGTACCTGACTACCTGTACACATATGAAGGCTCCCGAGGGAGCAAGCTTTGCACTCCACCACTCCGAAGGAGGGAGTGTAGGTCCACCCTCCACCAAATCAACTCTGTTCTGTGTGTGGACACGTATGCTCTGGCATATGTATGTACATACTCTGCCCTGTGTAAACACAAATTCTGCCCTGTGCACACATGTACTATGCCCTGTGTACGTGTGTACACACTATGCCCTTTGTGTGTTTATACTCTGCCCTGTGTGTGTTTATAAGCTGTCCTGTGTACACACATAACCTGTCCCGTGGAAATACATACTCTGTCCTGTGTACACACATACTCTGCCCTGCGTAAACACATACTCTGCCCCGTGTAAACACATACTCTGCCCTGTGTATACACATACGCTGCCCTGTGTGATCACATACTCTGCCCTGTGCACACGCGTACTATGCCCTGTATGTGTAAACACCTTGCCCTTTGTGTGTATGCACTCTGCCCTTTTTGTGTTTATACTCTGCTCTTTGTGTGTACACTTTCTGCCCTGTGTATACACATACTCAGCCCTGTGTACACACATACTCTGTCCTGCGGACACATATACACTGTCCTGTGTACACACATACACCGCCCTGTGTGTACACATGCTCTGCCCTTTGCGTGTATATACTCTGCCCTGTGTGTGTATATACTCTGCCCTTTGTGTGTATATACTCTGCCCTGTGTATGTATATATTCTGCCCTGTGTGTGTATATACTCTGCCCTGTGTGTGTATATACTCTGCCCTGTGTGTGTATATACTCTGCCCAGTGTGTGTATATACTCTGCCCTGTGTGTGTATATTCTCTGCCCTGTGTGTGTATATACTCTGCCCTGTGTGTATATATACTCTGCCCTGTGTGTGTATATACTCTGTCCTGTGTACACGTACACGCATACTCTGCTCTATGTATACATATACTCGTATCACTGCCAACTTACATACATATGTCTTAAAAGTTTGTGGACACAGACGGCATAACACCTTTTTATTAGACAACTTGTTGGGATATGCCGGTGGGTAAATGACGCTTTAGTTTTCATGTTGGATGTCCTGTGCCTATGTACCGCCGTGCAAAATCTTTGCCCGAGTTTGGAAGCCAATTCTGATCAATTTGAATACTGCTTATCAACTATATGCTGTTTTACCGATGTCTGCGGAGCTAATAAAAAGGCAAAAGACGACGGCCTTCTTCTCGATATTTCCAAATATAATTAAAATGGATAGTGCCCAGTTTGAGAGATCTGGAAGACAATCCTGGTCCTGGTCAGGTTGTCGCTGCCGCAGAAGGCTTCTGAACACCTTATATAATAGATTTCGATCTATGGGTAAATACACTGACAAGTGTGTGACGAGGATCCATCACAAGTGACATTACACGTGAAACAACCTATATAATAAATAAAAACCTCCGTTACTGTCGAGTCCAGCTATTATCACAATAACTTCTCAAAGGCAATGGCTCTTGTTGTTCAACACAACATCGATACAAACTTTCCAAGAAGTCTCTCCAAATCTCGTGTCTAGATGATACTTTAAAATTGATTATTGATATGGTATGCTCCTACAAGCGCTTCGTAATTATTGTTGGTATCCGCCGACGGGTGCCACACCACCGGACATATATGTGACTTGTTGCTGTTGCCACTGTTGTTGCCCGTCCGCTCCCATGATTGCCGCTGGGGCGTTAGGCGCTTCCAATCCTCTGTCGCCCTTGATTGACTACAGGTAGAGGAATTTTCATCGAATTAATACGAAAATATGCGTTTCATGGTATACATGGTATATATATATATATATATATATACGCACACCAATACGCAAACAGGCGCATATATAAAAAAAAATATCTATTCATAAACGCACAACCATGTATTCACATAGATATATACACACAATAAAAATAAGAAATGCGTTTATACATAAGCTTATATTCATGAGTTAATAGACACGTACACAAAAACACACACAAAAACATATACACTTAAAAAAATATACATTTACATAAATGTACAGGTACGCACATACACACACAAACAGATATGTATATAAACGGATATAGATTTTTTTGTTCTGAATACTCAAAATCCACATTCATCATGAGAACATGTACACACACACACACATATATATATATTCATATGTAAACATGCGCATAGGGCGAATCAATAGCCACTCATGTTCCCTACTTCCTATTCATCCATCCATCCATATATATATATATATATGTATAAATATAATATTGGGAAGTACATAATTTTCAGGCGTATATTAAATACAACAGAACCAGACTCGGTGGAACGAAGAACAAATACATATATATATATATATATATATATATATATGCATATAAAAATATCAAATGTGCGTGTACACTCTCACACACACACATATATATATGTATAGAAATACATACATACATATAACATATATATACACATATATATATAGCATGTATGTATGTATGTACGTGAACGAGACACAGTTTTTATGCATAGATATGTGTGTATATCCATACAACATACATATATATATACACATATATATAGCATGTATGTATGTATGTACGTGAACGAGACACAGTTTTTATGCACAGATATGTGTGTCACAATTTTTTTAACTGATTATTCCCTCATAAAGCAAGTATACACATACACACAAACATACATGTGAACGTACTCATAGAGCGAATCAATATCCGCTCCAGTTCCCGATATACAAATAAATAAAGATCCATATATACATATACATATAAATACATGCGTACACATATATAAATACGTACTTACATATATACATATATAATATAGTGATATAAATATATATTCACGAAAACACACATACACACACACACACACATATATATATATATATATACAAACATACATATGTATAGATGAACGTTGAAGACACACACAGATAATTTCTGACTGATTATTCCTTCATGGAAAAGTATACACATACACACAAACATCTATGTGAACATACTCATAGAGCAAATCAATAGCCATTCCTGTTCCCTATATGTAAATAAAGTAATATCTATATACCCATATATCCATATACATACACCTACGGCTTGATATGTGCAATGTCTCGTACGTGCATAGATACCAGGACCAGACACAGTCACCTACATGGGCCTATACATACATACATACATATAAATCAAAATATTTTTTGTGCATATTGTTGCATGCGTGCGCGAAATTTACAGAAGCAGAAACAGTCACACTCGTACATACATATACATATACATATATATGTTCACATATACGCTTAGGCTGCTGTATATGTCTCGTGTGTGCATAAACAACACATAAGCCAGACACAGTCGCATAAGTGACAATGAAATGTATACAATGATAAAAACACCAGATACTCGCATATATACATATACATATGTACACATACATACACAGATGGATATATATTAACACACACAAATATAAACAGAAATACAAATACAAAGATATATTAATATATATATATATATATATATATATGCAAGCATATGTATACTGTATATACGTATTGCTTGTGGTTATAGTCAACAAGAAAAGTGCATACAAAACATTTCGTCAGAATTCATATCGAAAATATAGAGGTAAAGAGATATACCTCTCGGTAGGCTTGCAGGTACATCTTAAGCGGTTCAATATACTGGTCGAATCCTAAGGATTGCATGGCCCATAGGATGTCCTCTCCGTTTATAGTTTTACGCTTTTCTTGCGTACATCGGTCACTGGCTTCTGATGTGATGAAGCCAATAAATTCTGTGCAGCACTCTTGCATACATTCCTTCGAGTCCTTGGCCATTTTACCTATTATAGTACAAGTAATGATGATATATTTGAAAAATTTAAGAACTGTTGAAAGTCTTCAATAAAGTATCACTTTCCGTCGCTAATGGACAAAGCCGTGAGCAGCGAACAATGCACAACATACCGTTCTCTGGGATGGCACGCTTCATTATACGGGAGATATTAGCGATAGGGAGGAGTCGATCTTGTTCCCTCAATACTGGCAGTGCTGTAGTATTCAAGGTTATAAAATCAGATGCAACTCCGATAAACGAATCGCTCAGGGTAAATCCAAGTTTCGTTAAGGTCAGATGTAAACAACAAGGAACTGCCACTAAAAATACGCTAGTCAATGACGGCACAAGTCAGAAATTCTAGAGGGGCAGTATACCACAACTACATACTAGATTGGTCGCCGGTGAAACCCGCCTGACCTTCTGCGTAGCCTTGTTGGCCTTGGAAATTGTCACCTCCAGGAGGTACACCGCCCGGGGCGCCTCCTTGTTGAGGGAATGTCGGAACTTGATCGCTCATTTTTGTAACACTAAAATATTATTCAGACGATACTCGACAGATGGAAATATAGATAATAATAAGCGTATGTTTAGAAATAATAGTAACGAACGTAACTCTCTCTCTCCCTTGCTAGAGACGGCACTGTAGGTTGGACCTCTGAAAATACTGCGTACACGTCGTATACACTCTATTTGAAATTATTGACCATAGATTCGCCTCTCAACTTCGGGCGGTTTGCATTCATCGAGTCTCAGACTCTCTGACGGCTCAGGGATCAGGCCTCACCAGTCACCAGTCATCAGGCTCCTATAACCGGCGGATTATAATATTTTGTTTTGATTTATTTCAAAGAAATTTAAAAAAAAATGAAATCTCAACGGCTGATACTTTGAATCACGTCAGACTCGGTCGGAGTAAATAATCAAGTTCAGAAGTTCTGTTCACATGATAGCAAGGGCTTTAGGGCCCAGGGCCCCAGGCCCCAGGGGCCAGACCAGTCCGCCGGGGCCTACTATGTACTACTAGCTATTATTAAAAAAAATACCGAGAGAGAGTCTCCAGTCTCCAGTCTCCACTATTTACACTACTTTTAGTCACTAAAATATGTACACACTACACACACATCATGATGAATAGAGAGAAGAGACAAGAGACTAGCAGAGTCTAGTAGAGAGTCAAGAGACCATACTCACCACAGCTCTTTTTTTATTTTGGGGGATTTTTTATATTTAAAAATAAACATTAGTAAATACAGTCTATTTACCTGGCCTGGTATACGACAAGGGCATGTCTTAGCAAACTAGTTTTCAACCCGTCACGATATGTCTTCTTAGAAAAATATCATGACGTATATCGGACTTCTGACTGTAATAAAATACATGACGTCAGGTCGTGTCGTCTTAGAAAAGTAGTTTCCGACGGAATTTCCATGTCGTCATAGAGGAAAGTGCTGTCGTAAACCAGCCCAGCAATTTACAGTCTACATTCTACAATAACTCTTCAGTGTACAGTCTGCACTCTACACACAGTCACCAAGTCTCACAGCCACTGGCTGGATCAATAGCCAATTGGCCACTCTCATTCTTTAAAAGTCTCTCATAGTCTCCAGAGAGTTATTAGAGACCTAACTAGGATCAACAGTCTCTCTCGCGCACTCTTTCTCACGGCCAATCGAACAATCAGTGGCCAATTGGCCACTCTCATTCTCTTTTAAGAGTCTCTCATAGTCTCAGAGAGTTAAGAGACCTAACAAGGATCAACTGTCTCTCTCGCGCGTACCCGGTCTTCAACAAGTCTTCAACTCTCCATGATTCATAAAAACAGTAGACAATTATTTTTTCTTTAATTTATTTACAATAAATACACCGGAGCCATCCCAGGATTCTGATTCTCAGCAGACTAATAAAAAACGGCACACACTTTTTGTAAAATACAAACAGCCTCTTTGTCCTGAATTTGGTACATAAAAAAATTATTAAAAAAATAAACAAAATTATAAAAAAATACTTGTTTCCAAATTCTAAAGAGGCAATAGAGCTATAGACTGACAATCAGTGTCAAGTGTCCGACGAACAGATCTATTCACTCTCTCGCACAGGGCATATATTTATATATAGGCCCATTGCCTTACCCAGTTACCCGCCAACTTCCCAAAAATAGTCGAACGCCGGGCACTGCCCGCCTGCCCGGTACTGCCGTACTCCTCAGACCTCGGTACTAGTTAGTAGCAGACTAGTAGCAGGCACTAGCAGCACTGTCTGCATTCAAAACCCACTGGTGTCACACACAGTGACGTTGACGAGTAGGGCTTTTTCACCAGCTGGGAATGGCTATTTAGACATACTAATACGGAATCTAGAATTCTGTGTACATTGTACAGTTGTATACGATAAAAATAAACAACAACAGAAAAGGGCTCTCTACAGAGTGTGACTTAGTGGAAGTTCTGTAGAAGGAAGGCAGGACTCAAAAAGGAAATTGACACTTCTCAAATGTATATATAAACACATGCATGGACACTCAAAAAGTCACTCACGTCTGAAAAAATATATATTCTGTTTGGGGTTAAAATGGCTACTCGTCCTAACAAAAGTTTGACCTACCCTGTGCCGGCCGCCATGGCCAAGGCACACTGTAATAGCGTCGAACAATATGATGAGATGATGAAGGTGAGGATTTTTGGGTAGTAGTTATCGTGATATCTTCTGATACGTTGGACGAACATTTTTCTGCAGGTCACATACTTTAATGCCTTCTGCGTCACACGATAGGATTACACATAGCCTCTTAAAGTTTGCGTGCTAGAACATCCATACGCGACCTCCTATAATTGGATTTTCTTGTATCGGTATATGAAAATTTGCTTTGTACTTTGTGCATTCGGTCCTCACATGCGGCCACAACTTGTTTTAGGTAATTACGAACAATGATCATACGAAGAGATACTTGTATGACTATAAGGACAATATACCACACTGATTTGTCCTGTGAACTGACTTTCGCGGATACTTACGCAATTAGGAATCGCTGGAGAACCCTGGAAAATTCTGGGGCGGAATTGCGTCGGAGTTCAAATGGAACAAGAAATGGGATACAGACTTGAGCTACAATTTCCATCGCTCCAAAGGAAAGGTTGAGATCAAGTGGTTCGAAGGAGGTGAAACCAATGTCTGCTACAATGCTATCGATCGCCACATCGAGGCGGGCAAGGGCGACAAAATCGCCTTCTACTGGGAGGGCAACGAACCAACAGCAGATGGTTCTATGACATACCAACAACTGCACGATCGAGTCTGCCAAATGTCCAATGTTCTCAAATCATGTGGTGTGACCAAAGGAAAGGTTGTGGCTCTGTACATGCCCATGATCCTCGAGCTACCCATTGCCATGTTGGCTTGTGCTAGAGTGGGCGCTCTACACACCGTTATCTTCGGTGGATTTTCGTCCAAGTCGCTATCGGATCGTATGTTCGATGCCAAAGCAGATCTGCTTATTACTGCATCGGGTGTATATCGAGGCAAGAAGTTCATCGACCTGCTTGCCATCTCTAAGGAGGGTGTGGAGATGACCGCTGAGCTGGGTCACGAAGTTCCCAAGTATGTCTGTTCGTACCATATCTTGGAGATGCTCTTTTGATGGCTTGATTTCTCAATCTTTATATTCAAATTTGAGGCCGAGCTGGTGATTGCAAGGCGTTTTCATTATTTCTGAAGGAACATAAGGTTGGGATCTGGTTTTAATTCGCACTATCTTAACGAATATCACTTGTACTTCTCCAAAACAGCGTATGCGTAGTTCAATGGACTGACGTTAAAGCGGATATGCCAGAACAAGATTCGTACTGGCTGCTCGAGGATAAGATCGCGTCCGCATCGACTGAATGTGAGGTTGAGTGGGTGGATGCGGAACATCCTCTGTTCTTGCTGTACACGAGGTATGTAAAATCGATATGCATGACATCTCTTGTGTGCTATTATATATATAGCATGCTATTTGCCACTCTGTGACCTATTATTTTCGTCTGTTGGGTAAAAAGATATGAGCGTTATTGTCCATTTCAATATTAACTACTGCTAACATACGTATGCATATTCACACTTGTCAAGATGAGGGCACTATATATAATGAGTTTTATTCCCCTCAACTGAAAAGGATGTATAGTGCCACATGCGTGCAAAACGAAGCTGAGATGTATATCTGACAGTAGAAATGTTTTGCTCATCAGTGCACCATACACATACATGTACAAATACACGCATATATATATATATATATATATATATATTTGCAGAAAATGTTGACGTCGATTTGTGCTAGTATTCTATTCGTGCTTTACGACACGGCGAATATGCCACATAATGGAGGATGCTGCAGAAGCAATGATACAGCAATCGTACATCAGTACTCAACGTTAATTCAATAAAGAAGTCGGAAGCTCCTCCTTAATACGGTGTCAGTACATGAAAATTTGTGCTCACACCTCAATACTCATCCTTCCCCTGCTCTAGTGGTTCCACCGGAACGCCCAAGGGAGTCGTGCACACGACCGGTGGCTACATGGTGTACGCTTACACCACATTCAAGTACGTGTTTGATTACCAGGAGAATGATGTATTCTGGTGCACGGCCGATTGTGGATGGATCACAGGCCACTCGTACATCACGTACGGACCCTTGTTCGCCGGAAGCACCAGTATTGTATTCGAGGTATGTAAACGTAGGTCGTTTTTGTTCTTGCGGATCCTGTCGGTACTTTTTACTCGTACACGTACAGAAGACAACAAAACAGTATTATGATATTGTGGTGTGCTGATATATAAAGCTGTGTGGTTATGGATCCCTAAACAAGGGCACGAGCATTACTTTGCATACAATACGGATGTGACAGGGCTCGATTGGTTTTCTCGCTCAGTGTGTATAGTCAGTGTTATTCACCACCATTTCTTCACGCCAATCAATACAGGGAATTCCCACTTATCCTGACGTGGGACGTTTCTGGGAAGTCTGTGAGAAGTACAAGGTGACTCAGTTCTACACGGCCCCGACAGCTATAAGAGCCCTCAAGCGATACGGTGACGAGGCGGTGCTTAAGTACGATCTCTCAAGCTTGCGAGTGCTTGGATCAGTGGGAGAGCCTATCAATCCGGAAGCTTGGGAGTGGTACTACCGTGTAGTAGGCCAAGAGAAGTGTGCCATCGTAGACACTTACTGGCAAACCGAGACTGGCGGACACGTGCTGACTCCCCTCCCTGGAGTGAAACCAACCAAACCAGGATCTTGCTCAGGCCCATTCTTCGGCGTGGACATGAATATCCTAGACAATGAGGGAAAAGCGGTGGAAGGTCCCGGAGAAGGATTCCTGGCTATTTCGAGACCATGGCCTGGAATGATGCGAACCGTCTTCAACAACCACGAGAGATTCGAAGCTACATACTTCTCACAGTTCGATGGCTTCTACTGTACCGGTGACGGCGGCATTAGAGACGAGGACGGTTACATGTGGGTACGTGATCGCTATTTCTGCGCTTTTCTCTTTTCGAAATGGGTAACAAGTTTCCTATCACTAGATATTAAGTTGTTCATCAAAATTTATCGGATCTCTTCCTTCTCTGTTGTCATGTACTGTAGATTATTTATTAATTGGATTGCTTCTTCTCTGTTATGTACTGTAGATTACTGGCCGAGTGGATGATGTAATGTGCATTTCTGGACATCGCATCGGAACGGCTGAGGTCGAAGCAGCTATGGGCAAGCACGAAGGCATTGCGGAATCTGCTGCTATCCAGGTAGATCTCACTTCTTATCTACCTTCAGAATGAACATTTTTCTGTGCTCCGAGTTTTTTTTATTTACATTATGGGCCACTCCGAGTTGTTTGCCTTGGCACTTGCATACATGGCTGAATGTTAGACTAGGTCAGTGTCAGTATTGCTGATAAATTAACACATATTCGATATATCTTTGTTTCAGATCCCCCACGATATCAAGGGTAACTCTATCTACACCTTTGTGGTCTTGCGTCCGGGCTACGAGATGACCAAGGAACTGAAGAAGGAGCTCGTACAAATTGTGCGTGCAGAAGTAGGCGCTTTCGCTGCACCGGACAAAATCAAGGTACAATATTTTATTAGTATTTTCAATCAAGTTGTGACTCGGTAGCGACTTCTATTTTATTTATGACTATTGTATATGTACGTTGTCTAAACACTACAAATTTCGATCACAGGAAGCTGAAGGTCTCCCGAAGACACGCAGTGGTAAGATCATGCGAAGAATCTTGAGAAAGATCGCCACCAAAGACTTCGACACCTTGGGCGATACCTCAACGCTAGCTGACTCATCTGTTGTTGATCAGCTCATCAAGAATGCGAACATAGAAGACTAGTCGTCGTCACCCCCATCCCCACGAGCTGACTCATCTGTAGTTGAGTAGCCAAACAGGAATCTGGACATCGAATACTAGTTGCATTCACCCCCTTACCCCCCCCCACCTTTCAATAAGTAAATTACGTTGTACATAGTAGTAATAAATATATGAGAAGCCTTGAGAAAAAAAAATCTCGGGGTTGATAACAACATTTGCTGTAATAAGTCTCTCTGTTTCAAGTCTTTTAAAGCGTGTTCTCGTCTTTGTGGTTATACACAGCAATTGAAATTGAATGCAGAGGAATGAAGCCTTAAAAGCTTCCCATAGTCGAGCACCACATCAAGGATCTACAAAAGACGAGCACATCCGCCATAGTGAACAGTTTACTGGTAAATATGATGAAAAGAGAGAAAGATCTAGAGCTGTGTCTCATAGTCGAGTAGTTTATCAAGAATGCTACGAAAGACAAAAGCGCGCTCCCGCATTACGATATTATTTAGATTAATAAAAAATTGAACTCACAATAGGTTCCATAATATGCACATACATTACACAAGTAAATATATACATGTACATATATATTTATACATACAAGTAAATATATACATGTACATATATATATATATATACATACACACACACACACACACACACACACACATATA